TTTGCGGCTGATTTATTAAATCGAGAAACCAATATTGTGCTAATTGATGAGTTTGACAAGGTATCACCACATTTTATACAATGCATTTTATGAATTGTTTGATACTGGGATATATGAAGATCTTAATTATAAAGTCGATACAAGTAATTGTATTTTCATTTTAACTACTAATTTTTTATACGAAAAAGAAATTATTAAGTCTTTAGGTGTACCAATTCATTCTAGGATTAGCTCAATAGTAAAATTTAACCCATTAAATATTACTACTAAATCAATAATTATTTCTAAAAGTATCACGCTATTATTGAAACACTTAATGATGATGAAAAAAGTTATTAGCAGATCAGAAGTTCTTGAGTTTAGCACTTTTAAAAGTAGAAAACTTTAACAATGTTAGATTGATTCAAAATAGATTAGAAGAAGTTATTTTTGACTATCTTACAACATGCCTTTTAGATGATAATCCTGTGGCGGAAATTTAAAAAACTTCCAACTAGTAATCTGTTTAAGTATTTATCTAGTTATTAGTGGAATATTCATATCAAAACGGTTGAAGGGGAAAATAAGTTATTTAAATCAAGATGGAAATTTTGCAAAACCAAAAAAAATGATCATTTAAAGTTGTATTTTTATGTTTTATTGATAACTCGTGTAAGAAAGAATTCAAAAGTTTATACATGCGAATTAAAAATCCATTATTTTCAAAACTTTATAAGCTTAAAAAGCGTGTAGAAAGTGAAGAACCGATAATTCTTTAATTAACAATAGAATCAAAAACTACAGGTGAATGATAAACAAGAATTAAATCTTATTTAGCGAGTTTTATCTGGAATAGTGAAAATGAAAAGCAAGCTCAGAGTGTAAATCATCAGATGGTATTGGAGGTACCCATGTGAGACTTTTTCATTGAAACAAGTATAACTTGGGATTACTTTATTAATGAAGCGCCAAATGCAAAAAAGCAAACCATTACATGTAATGGTACGCTATAAATTTGAAATATTTAGCTTGAAGGTGGGTCAAAATTAGGGTGAGTTATATAAAGTTTTATTATTAACAGCAAGAATAGGTTTGGTCGCACAAACCAAAATAAGTCACTTTTTAAAAGTTTGGCTTATTTTTATATTTTGTGGTTTCCACCCCAAGCCCCGCTTTAGAAATTAGTTGTTTCCTATATTTTTAAACAGAAAAATAGATTTGAAAGAGATTAATACAATCATTGTTCAAGTCTATTTTTATTATTTATAATCATCGTTTAGAAGTAATTAGAGTTAATTTGCTTGGCTAAGGTTGGTAATAAATGTAATATCAAACTTGTAGCTTTAGTGTTGTAACTAATATTCGACATCGCTAATAAAACTAAAGTATTTTTTTGTTGGAGATTGTGTTCTAACGTTTTAATCGGTTGATAATAAGCGATAATGTCATTAGGTTCACAGTATGTTTCTTTAATTCAGCATCCATTTTGTTACCCCTTCCATCTGTTATAACTAACATTTTAAAGCAATTGCTATCAAAAGTCTACATATAGAGCTACAATAGCTAAAAATTAGATTGAAAATAATTACAGTGTTTAATATTTAATACTTATGCATAAAATTATAATCTTATTGTCGAAATTTGTTGAAAGTGATTATTTGTGAATAAAGAATTATTAAAAGTCTATAATTATTAATATGGAAGATTTAAACAATAAATTAAAAACTTTAAGGCATCATAGTAATTTGACCCAAAGTGAGCTTTGCAGTTCGTTTAGGAATAAGTCGTTCAACATATATAAAAATTGAAAATAACCCAGACGATGCGACGTTTGGACAACTCAAGCAATTGGCAGAAATTTTTAATGTAAGCTTAGGCGTGTTGTTAGGATTTGATCGTGACGAAATTATAGAACAAATTAAAAACTTAGTGAATCGGTTGTAAGAACTTGAATTTTTATTTACTCATCATAAAAAAACTACTCTAAGTAGTTTGAATTTAGTATCCTTTTATTTAATTTTAAAATTCACATCATTAATCACTATGTGAGTTTCTTTTTGCGTGCAAAATTGTATCTATCACTGACTGAACAACTTGTACTTCATGCTTTGAAAGTTTAGATAAAGATAAAAACAAATGTTGAAGTTCTGAATGGTCGGACATCATCATTGCTATAAAATCATCTGAAATGGTCATTAATTTCTCTATATCAATGTACATTTCGCCTTCACCAGTTCGTAACCACTCTTCATTAACCTTGAAATTATTACAAATCAGTCTAATTGTTCTTTCCGTGACATTGCTTTCACCTTTTTCGATTCTAGAAATACTGCTTTTTTCAATCCAATTTTAGCGCCAAAGGAATCCATAGATAAATTCAGGTCTTTTCTAATAATCTTTATCCTGTTATTTATATTCATGACTACATCTCCTTTTATAATATGATACCATAAATAGTTTAAAAAAACAACTATATGTAATGGAAATGTTGACTGAGTAGCCTCAAGTTGTTATAATAAACAATATAAGTTTAAAATAACAACATAAGGAGACCTAAATGAAGATTGAGTTAGAAATGCCAAAAAGCCTTGAGGAAGAATTAAAACAATTATTGTTGAGACGTTTCAAGATTTAAAAGTGAAGATGCAACACCCAACATGGATGAAATTAAAAGAAGGTGCAAAGTATGCTGGTGTGAGTGAAGCGACATTTAAAAAATGGCGTAAGCAAGGTTTAGTTACGACAAAGCCGACAACTGGAGGAGAACTTGTTTCAAAACAAGCAATTGATGATTTTTAACCAAGTATCAAGATTAAGTGCATTCGAGTATCGGCTACTAAAATGTAAAATAGCTTGAACAATTAAACGAGTAAAAGAAATTGAACTAAAGGAGGAATTTATTAAAAAGTGGCAAAACAAAAATTTAAAAAAACAAAGTATCCAAGTGTCTATAAATATAAAACCAAAGCGGGTTATAAATATCACATTAGATTACGATATAAAAATGAATGTGGAGAATCAAAGGAGAAATCTTTGTCTGGCTTTTGACACTTGAAGATGCTAAAAATAAACATTCAGAGCTAGAGATATTAATACGTCAAGATGCAAATCTATCTAGCTTGAATAAAATTAAATTTGGCGATTGGTTTCATAACTATTATGAACTATCAATGCCATCATGGACACTTGCGACACAAAAGAGAATTCATTCTGAATACGAAAATCATTTATCCTATTTTAAAGAGAAATGGATTACAAAAAATAACACTTGCAGATGTTCAAGCATTTGTGAATTTGAAATTAAAAGAGGGATTAGCTGTGTCAACAGTTCAAAATATATACAAAACGATGATGCAAATTATGAATACTGCGGTTAAGCATGATCTACTGATTAAAAATAAATTAATTTATGTTGTTTTTCCTAAAAACGAAAAAAAGAAAACAAATTAATAGAAAAAGAAATACTAACCAGATTAGATCAGTTTGTATACCATGAATTTAATATTTTAGAACAAGCCATGTACCTATTAGCTCGTAATGGGTGGCGTGTCGGTGAAGTGGCTGGTTTAACATTTGGAGCTTGTGAGATTAAAGATAATGAGTGTGTGGTTGTATCAGTTAAAAAAACAAGAAACCATTATACAAGGGAAAACGGACAAAAACCTAAAACAGAAGCAAGTTATCGTGAAAACTACTTAAAAGGCGAGCAGGCAAAAAAATTATTTTAGCTATTCAAACAGCCCAAGCTAGCTATAAAGCTTTAGGAATTGTACCATGTTGCAACGATTTTGTTTTTTTGAATGCAAAAACAGAAAAACTTTATCATCCAAGTCGGCTATCTCAAATTTTAAAGAAAGCAAATAAGGCATTGTCTCTTACCATAACGCCACACATGCTTAGACATACGTTAGTATCAAACTTAATAAAAAGTGGCGCATCACCAATAGAAGTAGCTCGCTGGGTCGGGCACGCCAGACTTGATACAACGCTTAATATCTATACCCATTCTTCAAAACAAGATTATGCGGATCTAAGCGCAATTGCTTTAAAGGTTTAGGTGTGTTTGGTGGGATAATGGTGTGGGATAAAAAAACTTAACATCAAGATAGGGGTTGTTGTATCAACGTTTAGAGCTGTCCTCTTCAAGGTTGACTTTTCTGTTAGTAAAAGAAAAGTCAACCCCTAAATTAAAAAAAGTTATTTTTTTAAGATTTTTTTAAGAAACGTTGATTTCACACCATTTTTTAAAAGATGTCAATCTGTTTAAATATGATAAGTTTAACCTGTCATTGAATTATAATGCAGTTGGCAGTTAAAATTTATGTAGCTCACTACAAAATGTAGTGATTTTTTTTGCTTTTAACAAGATCCCACGGAAGATCCCACGACCTTTTTAGGCTAAATGGGATTGTATGAGGTTATTTAATCAATATTTGATGTTTTTATCAATTTTTATGCCTGTATGCGAGTGTGTACACCTAAAACGTTTCTTTTACTAAGAGTTAAGATAGACGTATAGCCAAGAACACAACAGTGCTTGAGGTTATAGACGGTTAAAACAAAATTTCAGATGAGTGCAGTTAATAACTAGCCAACTAAAATGAAATTAAACGATAACCGTACATGACAAAAAAGTTCTTTGACAAAGAAAAACTGACTAACCATCAGTCGTATAACATCAATTATTAAATACGAACCCTGTATGGTTGAAGCCCACGTAGTGAGTGCGCCATGACCCTTAACCTAACCTGAAAAACAGAAGGTAAACAAAATAAGGTGAGCGAGAACACAAGGCTACAAAATAAAAGGTTGCACCTTTAATGGCAATGACAATCACAGGATAATGAGACTTCTACCAAGTCCTAGCTCGAGCGTGGGAAAAGCGTCGTAAGCATGGATGGTAGGTGTGACGAGTATTCACACTGGTGAAATTCCAATGAGCGTTATGAGCAGTAACTCGTTTAATAATTATAGCTTCTTGACTAGCTGGATTGAGGTAGTAGCAATCAAAAGTCAAATCTAAGAGCGTAGTTTAATGGGAAAAACGATGCTTTCGTACATTTTACCTTTACGTAAAAGGACGTTACTCATCATGTGGGTTCAATTCCCACCGCTCTTACCAATTTTAACCAAGGAAACAGGTGTTTATCACGATGATAATGAATCTTGAAAAGGAGTGGAGTTTTATGAATCACACATGGGAAGATATTGATATTATCAGCTATCATTTACAACGAATTAGCGATTTAAAAGTAGGTACAATTTTTATTGATAATCTATGGGAAATAAATGAATTAGAAATGCGCCTAAGAACAAAAGGTATTTATTTTAACACATCTTTTCAAGGAACTTATTGGAACATTTATTTCAACACAATAATAAAACAAAAAATAGAAGGGAGGTAAATATCATGTTGGCTAAAAAGTTAACAATCCAAGAGCAATATTTAATTAGAACAACCAAAGAATTTATTTATCGGTCAACTTTTGGTGGTTTTGTAACAATCCCAAATTCACATTGTTTAATTATTTTACAAGGTTTTCTTTGTGAGCGTGGTTACACTTATTGGGTAGATAAAAAAGAGACAAAATACATTATACGATTTAAAAAAAACAAAAAATCAACTAAGTCTGTTGTCACAAGAGCGAGGATGCATCATTAAAAGCGCTAAATGTCTTTATAACAGTATTTTTTCAATGCTCTAAAATGTTAAAGAGAGGAAAACACAATGAAATTTAAGGTATTTACTGCACCTAAGAAGGCAGAATTAGAAAAGCAAGTGAATGATTTTTTAAAACAAAATAAGCAAATTAATGTTCATGAAATCACGACCACTTCTTCAAGGGTATCTGGATTAAAATTAACATTTGCGACAAATATCTTATATGATTTTAAAAAAGAAAGAAGGGAGAGAGGAAAAGTTAATGAATGAAGCTTATGTGTTAAGATTTAAAAAGAAGCCAAAAGGATTTAAAAAATATTTGAAAAAAATATAGCCAAGTCAAGAAATGGTATGAACCAGCTGTTGCCGTGGCACTTTATCAAAAAATGATAGACAATGAATATGTAGAGGGAGAGCTTGAAATCGTCATTAAATGTCTCGCATCGGCAAAAGAAATTGTAAATGTTAAGGTGACAATTGATCCTAATGTTAATACAGCTTTAGATGTACTGATTTACAATGAATTGCAAACAGAAATTAAAGAAATGGGTGCTGATTGTCCAGACGAACTCATACAAATTTTAGAAGAACTACACCTAGCGCTTAACTGGGGTGATGAGCCATTCAAACAAACGATTGTAACACCGACAGAAGAAAAAACTAGTAATTTAGAAGATGAGCTAAGTGAAGAGCTGACTGAGTTTGATCAATCATCATCCGAACCACTTGTAGATATTCAACAAACAGTAGAATCGGTTTTATTTGATACTGAGGAAGATGAATGGGAAATTGATGAAATTTTAATTCCTCCAATTAAAGATACAACAGATACAGAAGTAACGTCAACACGACCTAGTGAATCAAATGATGTGCTTAATGTAGATAAACTTCATTCAATTTCATTGCTTATAAATAAATTAGCAAAAAACAAAAAAATGATAAAAGAAGGTGTTCATTATTTAATCGAACATTTTAGTTTAACGGATAAAAATGATCCAATCACACTTAAAAAACAAAACTTCCTCAAGCTTCAATACGAACAAGGATTTTTATTTTTTTTACAAGAAGAATATCGGCTATGCGCCCAGAAACTAGAATTAGTAAAAAGAGAAGCACAAGCACAGCTTGAATTTAAATATCGAGATATTCAAAAAGAGCATGTCGAACTTGTAGAAACACAACTTCAAGCATCACGTTTAGAATTAGAAAAAATGTTTGATGAAAAGAAGCAAGTTGAAATTGAAAAACTTGAAGTTAAATTAAAACATGAGTTTGAAGAAATGCTTGAAGTTGAGCGCTTGAAAATTGAAAAAGTAGTGTTTTCAGACTTAACACCCGAACAATTATTAATCATGTCTACTTACCGTGATGAGGTTGAAGCAATGATTAAAGCTGACATCAGTATGGTGATCGAAGCATATAAAACACGTCATCAAGCGTTTATGGAAAAAATTACAACTGGCTTACAATTTAAGCAAATGGAACTAGAAAGAGAACATGATCGTGAAGAGATGCGTAAACAATTAAGAAGGCTTGAAACAATATCTGAAACAAGCCAAAAAGAACAACTTGAAGTTATGCTTGATAATCAACAACAATTTCAAAAACAAATACTGGAATTGATGCAGAAAAATGAAGTTGAAAATACTGATAAAAAAAGCATTAAGCTTTTTGGGGCTACCTCATTTTAATTTCGGTGATCATAAGCATGATCGCATTAACTGTCTATCATTTAAATTTTGTGAAAGAGGTAATGTTTACATGGTTTTATTAAAACAGGATGTGAAAACAACATGATGATCGATTGGACTTTATTTAATAGTGCGAATGGCTGTTTCGTCTAAGCAATTGAGTAGTCTTTTCAAAGATGATATTAAAGGTTTAATTAAAAAAAGTTAAAAATTAAAAATTATAAAAATGGAAATGAGAGGTGTTTTACATGTGGGAAAATGATCCTTATGATAATGAAGTCTTTGATGACTTAATTATGGAAGAAATAAAAACAAAATCTTATCAAATAAGTAGAGATTATCCAAAACTACCAGAAGACTTCAAACAACAACTATTAAGAGATTTTAAGGATAATTTAAAGGGGCTCGTTTATTATTTAGAATTTGAAGAACCTTATTCAGAAGATGAGCAATGGAGAGGGATTCATCAAAGTTTATTAAGCTTTCAACGAACGATTTTAAATTTTAGCGATGAACGATGGACAATGACATTAAATGAAAGTGACATTGACATTGAAAAATATAAAAGTGATGTCGTCCTTGAACCTTGTTGGGATTTATTTGATAACATGATAAGTGAAATAAACTGGGTACAATTTAACATGACATCTACTCAAGTCCATGATCAGATTGAAAAAGTTGAAAAAAATGAATATTTAAAATGGCATTTAGAACATGTTGGTTTAAAACGGCATGAATATTTAAAGGTATTTTACCGGAAGTAAGAAATAATTTGCTTTGGCGACTTCAAGTTAGATTAAATGAACAAATGTAATTGAATAACCAAATTTGAATCAATTTATTTAAAGTAGTTCTTTATTTAATTCACTCATTTAACTTATATCTTCACGCACTTAGCAAGAACGATCGAAACAAGGAGGTAAAAGGATGTCAGAGATTTGCAAAAAAAGGTTAAAACCACCCCACATGTTGATTACAGGTGGTGGTGACGACCGAACAGGCTATCAAGAAGTTTGGTATGAATTATTTATTTTAAATCATGATGATGATTGTAAAATTGATTTAGAAAAAGTGTTACAAATTGATGAACAGCATGACTGTAATTGCTCACAAAGAGATTTTGTTCTTGAAGCATTGTATCGGTTAGGACAAATGCCTGAATTTTGGGAATATTTTTTAATTTATAATAAAAAACATGGTGATTGCCATCTATCACAATATTTTGATGAAAGTCAGCGTAAACAGAATTCAAGATGTAAATAGGGTGATTTTTAAATTGAGGGTGTTCTTGTTGAAACCAAATCAGAGCCGATGAAAAATCTTGCGTTGTTTTAAGGTGTATTGCTTTGAAATTTTTGATTGAAAATTCTTGCGTCTTGAGTTTTGAGTTTTTGATAAAATCATGGACTCTATCTACACTTATCCAATATATAAACCTAGAGAATTCGTATTTATAGGGTCTATCATTAAAAGGATAAGTATTTTCCTTTTCTACAAGATGGAGGTGACTTAGGTGGTTGCTCCAATGAGAAATAAACTTTTGATCTCAAAAAGTGTATTCCAATTGATATTTTTTGAGAAATTGTTCAAATCCGTACTTGAAAATTTGTTGTTTGAGGGTTAATTTTGAAGATTTTAAGAAAATGTTAATCACCTTATCTTAGTTTTTAATTAAATAGGATAACAAAGATTAAAATAAAAATGCAATGAATTTGTAGAAAAAAATAAAAAGTAGTTTAAATTAAAAGAAATAAAAAAAGAGAGGGGAATAAAAAATTGTCAAAAGGATAGAAAGTTTGTTACCTTATTATATAGCTATGGTGTATGGAGGATTCGGTGGATTAGTTTTGTATTGGATTAACTTTACTGAACTGGTATATGTATACGATGCAGAAGCGATATATGCATATGATTCAAAAGAAATCTTATTAAGAGTGGTCGTGCTTTCCTTGGTGGTTATGCCTATATCTTATGTTGCAGTTCTAGAAAGAAGTGAATGCTTTACAAGGTTAATACGGATGAAACCAATCAAACTTGCAATAATGCTTTTTTTTCGATGATGATTTGGTATAATTTGATAAAATTTGAGATTGAGTTGTTAGGATTGTTTATTAATTATTTTGAGTTAATTGTGACGGTAATTGCACCAATCATAACCTTTTTTCGTATTTTGTATCTCTGTTTTTAGAAAAAGGGCTGAAACCAAAGATTTAGGAATTCCTTTTGAAATGGCTAAATCATCTGTTTCTGAACTATTACACCCTACAGGTAAAATGTTTATGCTTTTACTCCTTAGTCTTATTCTCCCTTTAGGTTTAATACATGCAATGGCAGTAGAAACAACTTTTTTGGTTAGTACTTTACTATTAGTATGCTTGTTTGTGAGTGTTAGTTTGGCAACCCATTTAGTCTTAACTGGCAGTTTTAATAAAGGCTCTATACCCAAACAAAGCTTTCGTTATTGGAGTGGCGTTACTGGGTGTCCATTTATAGTTACATTCATTCAATTGTTAAACATATTGTCTTTAGGAACGGATAAATTATCTTTGTTAGCAAGTTATAGTTGGCGTTCATGCAACTTTTGGTGTTCTTATTGTTTATTTTTCTTTATTAAGTTTATTTTATGGAAAATATAGCATTGGAGAGAAAAAATGAACTAACGATTGCGACAAAAGAGGAAAAGAAATATTTAGTTGCGACAAAAAGCTATGATTCGCATTGGATTTTAGTTCCATTTGATAAAATTGAGAAAAATTTAGCATGTGG